TTGAATGATGATCAGTAGTAGATTGATGGGCAGTCATTGGTCAGGTTAGATTGTCTTTTTGTGTACAAGACATAATTGGACAATTTTCCTCATTATCACATAGATCCTAGTGTTATTGCTATCCCGGAATAGCTTTGTTAAGGATGCAACAAGCCCTGGAGCACAAGTCTTCAGTGTTATTGTCAGAATGTTCTTGGGGCCTGTAGCTTAGCATATCCAGTGCCTCCATCCATTTCTTGATATCACTTGGAGTGAATCAAATTGGCCAAAGACTGGGATTTGTGATGATCAGGACCTTTGAAGCAGGTGGATCACCTGTTTGACACTTCTGGCTGAAGATTGTTCGTCTGCACAGATGAACTAGGCTCCCCTGTCTTTGATGATGAGGACATTTATGGAATCTCTTGCTCTAGTGAGTTGTTTAATCATTCACCATCATCCACAACTAGATCTGGCAGGATTGCAGAGCTTAGATGTGACCCCCTGATTATGGAGTTGCTTATCCATGTCTGTCACGTGCTGCCTATGCTATTTGGCCACAAATGTGTTCTGTGTTGTAGCTTCACCAGGTTGACACCTCGTTTTCAGTAACACCTGGTGCTGCTCCTGACATGCCCTCCTGCACTTTTCACTGAACCAGGGTTGATCCCCTGGCTTGTTACTAATAGAGTGGTGGATATGCTGGCTATTAGTTTGCAGATTGAATTGGAGCACAATTTTGCTCTTGCTGCTGATTGCTCACAGCACTCATGGATCCTCAGTCTTGAATTGCTAGATTTGTTCAAGATCTGTCCATTTTTCATGGTAGTAGTGCCGCACAGCACAATGTAAGGCATTCTAATTGTTGGTCAATAGTGGAACCGCTAAGTCACTCTTGATAAAAACCAAAAGAACTGTGGATGCTGTAAATCAGGAACAAAAACAGAAGTTGCTGGAAAAGCTGAGCAGGTCTGGCAACACCTGTGAAGAGAAAATCAGAGTTAATGTTTTGGGTCCAGTGACCCTTCCTCAGAACCAGACCCTCACCAGACCAGAAATGTTAACTCTGATTTTCTCTTCACAGATGCTGCCACACCTACTGAGACAAACCACTTTTGATGTCACCCATAGCTGTGTTCTTGCCACCCACTGTACTTCCTTCAAGTGGTATTCAACATGGAGGAATACGGATTCATTGAGCACGGTAGGGGCATGGTGTAGGTGGTAATCAACAGAACGTTTTGTTGCTCACGTTTGATCTGATGCCATGAGGATTCGTAGAGGACCAAGTAAATGTTGAGGAGTCACAGGTGATTCTTTCCATCTATATACCATTGTACCCCCAACTCTGCTGGGTTCGTTCTGCTAATAGGACAAGGCATACCCAGGGATGGTGATGGTGTTGTTTGAGATTTTTTTTCTTTAAGGTACGATTCCATGAGTAAGACTATGTCAGGCTGTTGCTTGACTAGTCTATAAGATGGCTCTTCCAAATTTGGCACTAGCTTCAGATATTAGTGAGGCGGACTTTGTAGGATCAACAGGACTGGGTTTGCTACTCTTTTCCAGAACCTCAGTGAGTGCCAGGTGGTCCATATGATTCATATTTTCTTTAGATTTTATAGCAGTCTTGTTACAACTGAATGATTTGCAAAGCCATTTCAGGGGGAAGTTAAAAGTTAACCACGTTACTGTGAGTCTCATGTAGGCTAGACCATTTAAAGTAGGCAGTTTTTCTTCCTTAAAGGACACTAGTGAACAAATTGAGTTTTTACAAAAGGAAAAAGCATCCTAACGGTCATTATTATACTTCCACCATTTGCTGTAGGACTTGAACCCAGGTCTCCAGAGTGCTACCTGAGTCTCTGGATTACTAGTCCAAAAATCACTATGCTATTACTTTACTCTGCAGGCTTACCCTGCTCAGCTCCAACTTCTTGTGCGGTTGGGGATCACAGGAATGTTGGAGGCAGGGGGGCCTGGCACCTCTGGAGTGTCCTGAGAAGAGACTTCTGGGGGACTTACATGTGGTTTTTCTTCTATCTGGGTGCTTCCTGGCACTACCCGGTCTCCTTGAGAGGAAGGGGCACCTGGAGTGAGGTCAACATTCCCCATCTCACTCACACCTTGCCTTACTGATGCTGAGCACGAATAGACAAATTTAATGACCAATACAGCGGGATCATCATCTACCTGTGCCTGAGTGGGAGGGATAGAGAGTGGAGCATCACAGTGTGACAACTATTCTTGGTTTGCAGCATTTGAGATTGCACACAACTGGGCTTCAAATGTGGTACTAGCAACATGAGCAAGACAAGGTCCAGCAGTGCTAAGTGCATCTGCCTCAGCTGCCACATGACTGCATGTGATGGGCACCAGGGAGCTCAAATATATAAATTATAATGCATGGAAGATGTGCGAGAAAAGTTATTGTGAGCCACAACCAGACATCTGCCATGAAATTACCTGAAAATGGGAAAATTCAGTCCATACTTTCCTCCAAACATTTGTGTTTCTTTGAGTATTTTTGCAGAGGGACTAGGGGGGAATCTGATTGAGATGAACAAAGTTATGAAAGGTGCAGATCACATTGACAGGGATAAAGTTTTCCCTTTAGTGGAGAAACAGTTTTAAGGTGAAGACAAGAGATTTAGAGGGGATTCGTGGAAAAGTTTTTTTCACCTAGAGAATGGTGGGTTTCTGAAACTCACTATGCCTAAAAGGGGGAATGTGTGGGGGGTGGATGGTGATGGAGGCAGGAACCGTCAAGACTTTTAAGAAATAATTAGTTGAGCGCTTGAAAAGCAATAGCATACAAAGGTACAGGCCAAGTGCTAGAAATGGTATATGGGATTAGATACATGCTTGATGAGTCGTGCATGCATGATGAGAAGAAAGGCCTTTTTCCATGCTGTAAAAGCTCAATGATTCTCTTCAGCATGCTTTTACTGTGTTTAAAAGCAATGCATGAGAACAAACCACCATGCAAGAAAGCTAAGTAAAGTCACAGCAAATAGTCAGTTCAGGAATTCTTATATCGACAAAGTAATTAAGCAGGTTAATGTTGACTGTGACTGTCTCTGTAAGGCCATCAGCATCATGAATTCTTATTCTGAATATCTTTGAATCTAATAGGAGAGAAGCTTCCCATCTTCCCCACTAAATCTTATGTTAGCCTCCTTCCATGTACAAACAATGTTTACACACAGGAAACAATCCATTCAGATGGGTGTCGTTATTTGGTGCACCTTTACCAATGGCCATAAAAGACAACCCTGGGGAAGCAGTTTCTGCTGTAGGCCTCATTGTGAATTGTTGCTTTTGGCATTGAGGCCTGTTGCCAAGCTGCTGTATCAAGAGACCATTCTGCTTGAGCATGCTGCACACAAGGAGAATCACCATTTCCCTCTTTCATCAATTTCTTCTTTCAAAACTAGTTTCCCTAGTGTAAAAGCAGGCCATTTGGCCTATTGAGTCCACACCAACTTTCTGAAAAGCATTCCATCCAGACCCCTACCCTATCTCTGTAACCCTGCATTTTCCATGGCTAACCCACCTAGCCCGCATATCCCTGGACTCGAAGGGCAACTTAGCATAGCCAATCCACCTAACACGCATATCTTTGGACTGTGGGAGGAAACTGGAGCAAACCCACGCAGACAAGGGGAGAATGTGTAGAGTTGCACAGACAGTCGCCCAACGGTGGACATAGAGTCTGGGTCCGTGGTGCTGTGAGGTAGCAGTGCTAACCACCGTGCTGCCTCTTTAACTTGCAATGAAAATTACAATTGCTTAAAGCAGTCTTTATGACTGCTTAAATATTTCAATGAAATAAATCCTCTGCACAAATTTTACTTCAAAGAAATAAACTGTGAATGCTGATTGGTTGATTTTAACAGGGAAGCAGAATTGCAATTAGGTAATTCCTAGCCAATTCTAGTACAATTGGCTGGGAGGGGACTGCAGACCTCCCAGATTAAACAATACAAAGATAAAACAGGTGAGACACTTCAGTGAAGTCATGGGACCCCAACCATTAACATTGTTCCTGTCTTGAGAGAGCGAGAGCTATGATGATGTATCCTATGCCTTGTGGAGCATGGCTTTTCCACGACACAACTTACTCTGGCCTGTGTGGTAGTCTCCAGGGATATTACAGCTAGGTCTTCACAGCAAGAGTAACAACACCAGCTGCCGTCAGATTCTGGGTTCAATGCATGCCCCAGCTGGAAAATAATTGGTGAAATTTGAAGCAGCTGACATTTAAATTAGATATCTTGCAACTACTGAAATCACTTCACAATCTTTACAAAACTAAAGGTATTCTTAATTAATTTTGATGGTAAAGTAAGACACTAAACTGTGGAGGTAGTGCATGCAATGTGCCGCAGACTGTTGTTTATGGAAGGGATTGATGGTGATTTAATCGAAGTTTTCTAAATGATACAGTTTCGCCTCTATCTGCAGCTTTTTTTTTTCCCGGTAGTGAGACTAGGCCAAAGGGGCACAGTCTAAAAAAAAACAAAGATCCAGTTTTTCATAGCAGAAATTAGGGAACACAAAACATGTTTAAAGTTTAGAAATCTCTCTGCAAATGGCAAATTGATGCCAAATTAGTTAAGTTTGTCTTTAATTGATTGTTAGCCAAAGGGTATTAAAAGGTATAAATCATATGAAGTTAGAGACACTTTGGCTGCTCTGCAACCTGTGAGGCAAGACAAGGGGATTAAATATTTCTAACATGTGGCTTAATATGATTTTAAACATTGCTAAAAGGAGATTAGAAATTGAAGCTTTTCATCTTTTCACAGCCATGGAAGAAAAAAAAAGACTTTTGTATTCATTCTGTATTAGCAAAACATTTAAAACGAGATACTGCAAACAAGAATTGAAAGTGACCAATTTGTACCAAAAAAAAGCCAAATAAATAATCTATTCATACAGGTAGAGAGGCAAAGAAAAACCGTAAAAACAAACTTGCATTTGTGTAATAACAAGCAACACAGTAAATAACAAAATACACGTGTATATTTTTATTGAACAAATCCATTTCTCAGTACAAAAACACTTAGCATACAATTACAAATATCTAAAGTACATGTTAATGGTTCAGGCTTTATGTTATTGCTTAAACATGAATAAAATGTGCTTTGTTAATGAATAATATAAAATAGATTAGTTTTAACATTTAATATAACCTAAATGCAATTTCTTTTTCTGAGACTTAAGTCAATAGTTACTGCTATTAATATACTGTATTTTTTTCTAAAGCTTTTAACTAAAGATATAAATTCTATGTAATACTGCTTGAAAAGAATTCTGACCCCTTAATAGCTCCCAAGAAGTTTAAAAACTGCGATCCAAATCAGGATTCATAATTACAATTAGGTGCATACTGCAACCCAAAACTTCACAATTGTATGACATTCATTTAAATAAATAAATAACACTGGTAATAACTTAGATCATCTATCCCAATTAGAATTCAGCTTGTGCTAACTATCCAACCATCAGAAAATATGGCTTTTTTTTAATAAAAAATGTAACAAGTGGCTTAATTTGAAACAAAATAGGCACCTTGAAGTGTAAGTTATAAATGCTGCAATTTAAAATTAATAATAAATCTTTACATTTTCAATCCTTAGCGAGCGTTGTCTTCTGTGCCCAGATTCACAGTACTGTTGTGATTACACAGAACAAAGTGGAACATTTTCATGTCAAGTCCACAGAGAATCTAGCAAGGAAACAATTCAATACCATTATAGCACATATAAAAGTTTCATCCAATGATTAAAGATTATAACTAGGAACACTGCGCTTGTAAGACAATAATGCAAGTACACTGAAAATCCCCTTTTAAATAACTTTTTGGGATTTGCCATGGAGATGAAAGGATTCCATTTATTCGGCAATTCTGAAATTTGACTGGTCCATTTAGACAGCACAGCAGGTAATCTCTACTTGGCACTGCTAAGGAAGACATTTTATAATGTTTCTTTGAATTATACTTTGATATAGAACAGTATTTCAAAACTACCTGTTCAAATAAAAATTTAACAGGAGACTTGAAACTGTAAAAATCTAATCTGTATTAAAATATATATTCAGAATGTATGAAAATATGTACCATTTTAGTTTTAACCACAAGTAGAACAACAAACGCAATGAAAGTGTTGCCTGCAAAAGGCATTATCTGAACATTAGTAATTACAGTATTTTGAAGACAAGACAGTAAACCTTACAGAAAAGATATAATTGAAAATAGAACCAGGTAGCTATGTATTTTACAATTATCTACCAAGAGAACAGAGAAAACTTAAATTTAGGACCCAACAATAATCTCCATGATGTGATCAAGTTCATTTAAGTCTGTTTTGCAGTTTTGGGGAGAATTTATAGGTGTCGGTGTGTGAGATGGTAAACCATTTAGTAATTCAAATATGACTGGTGTCGTTTTTGGACCAGTCATCAGCCCAGACATCACCGAGTCAAGGTCGTGCCAAGAAGTGTCAATATCAGCAAATAGGTCATCTATTGTCATATCTGTGAGAGAACTGGAGTAATTTCCAATCTCAAAACTCCCGAATACTTGATCCAAGGGCTTTGGACACTCCTTCAGATCCACTTGCTGCTCCTCAGATTCCAGCATATTCAGATCATTTTCAAAATGTGCATGGACCAAATCTTTTACAGCACTGGTGTCTTTAGCAGAAGCAGTAGCTGAAGAACAAGTAATATTTTCACAAGATGAACAGTTTACCTTGCTTTTAGTAAGTGTGTCGGTATTGCGAGTGGGAGCGGTGGTACTTTCTACATGTAGCTCTTTGTTTGGGCTACATAAAAATTCTGTGGCAATTAGACTATCTGAAGAAGTATGGCCTATGTATAGATCACTTCCTGTGAAAGCCGTTTGTCCCTGCCAACTGCAGTCTTGTATCATTTCCTCCTGAATCTGTCGCACGGTGTTGGCTATAAGCACTGAACGACAAAGATTTGGTTCCACCACCATCTTGCAGAGCTGAAGTTTGAACAATGAGATGTTTAGAAGTGACTGACGTTGCAAGTTATATGGTAAACTCAGACTGCTACCAACATACTCAGGGCAGGCATCTACAACTTGTTCCTCAGGAAATTTACGCTTTGTGCCTTTTCCCAACATGTTGACCTAAAAAACAAAGTTATCACAATGAAGACTTATACTTCAAAAATTCAAGACAAGATACTTTGGAATTAACCATGAGTTCAGAACACTTAATTATATTAACATATAGTTTGATAGATACAATAATTTAGAATTTAAGCATTATTTGACAAAACAATAGTAACAAAGAAGTATGACAACTTGAATATTCATACAATAATTCTAAATTATTGTATGAATATTCAAGTTGTCATACTTCTTTGTTACTATTGTTTTGTCAAATAATGCTTAAATAAGCAAACATGTTGTATTAACTACTTTTAATGCAAGTTTTGTTTGCAGCATATTTTTAATTGCACCAAATAATTTTATCCCATCTGTCTCATTACTACATCCAGACTAACTGAAATACAGTATTGCTATAGTGAAAAAGAAGCGAAGTGAAATGCAACTTCTGAGGGATTAGAATGATCAATCAGTACAGGATGGTCAGAGAGAAGTACAAGTACGTTGCATCGGCCGCTAAAAGAGGGTATCCGAGGTGAATCCTGAATTGGCTCCGTGAAATGAACAACATTGTGTTGAATAAAAGGAAAGTTTGAGAAAAATCAGTAAAGCTTATTACAGTTTGTATGTAAACACAAGTCACAACATGGAAAGAGACAATTATTCCCATTACTTGATTGACATACATTTTCACATAAGTAAATAGTTGTAAATTTCTTTGGCTTGTTCCAAGTTACTTCAATCCCTTTTCTTTCATTCCTCTATCCAACCTAATCTTGAATTGTCTCAAACACTGGAAATGAATTTCATAACCTAGCTTTTTAAAGGTTCTCTTACCTTCTCTAAGTCTTGTGTCATTGTCTCCTCAAAGCCTATAAATCAATGAAATAGTCTGCTTGTATGCAGTCTTCCAAAATTTTAAACAGAATTATATAATCAACATTCTCAAAAAAAACCCCAAATTTTCAACCTCATTGAATTCCTTCTGCTATTATAATAAACCTAATTCAATGTAATTACTGATTTTGTTTTAAAAAGTATAAAAGCATCACTTCATAGTTACATTGAAATTCATTGGCAACGACTTATGTACTCATTTCTACCAAGATCATTTTTCAGGTTATTTTGACTTTAAGTAAAAAAAAACCTTGCTCTGTTTTGATATCTAATGATTGAGCACTTTTTCCTAGGTCTATACCCAAATCACTAGTATGCACAATGTACGGAAGTAACTTTGGAACTGAAATCCGAGAAACATTATCCACTTCTGACCACTTAAAAAAAAAACTTAACTATTTGTTTTTGCTTTCTCCCTTCTACCCAATTTTTAACCCAGTTTACAATTTACTGCCACCAAACTCAATGTGCACTACATCTAATCAGTTTCCATCATCTGTTTTCTGCTTCTCCTCAAACGAAGAAACTACTACACATCTATATAATAGTAGATGACAGATTCCTATTACATGTTCAGGTAACTGCCATCTAATTACCATCAACTGCTTTCCATTTAAAAAGCATAATATTTGTTGTCGTTCAGCACAGATCCACATTGAATAAAGTGCTGAGATCTAACCTGCAGGGTCCTAGCACCTTCGACCCGCAACACCCAGACTAGATTGGATAAGTGGATAAAAGAAAGGTCGTCAACAGAATCCAAGAATAAGTTGGTTACAACTACTGCTTGTATAGAGATTGCTCCCTAAAAAACTAATTAACCGAAAAATTTTCCCTCTTCGGCTTATTGTCCCCCTACGTACCTACTTCACTCTTCACCAGCCTGAGAGAGGAATAAAGGCAGGTAACACCACTTGGAAGAGCACATGAAAAGTGATAACGTTTAAGGCTAACAGGTCAAGTAGGACTAGTTTAGATAGAGTAGTTTTGATGATAAACTCAAAATGGGCCAAACAACCTCTTCTGTACTGAATGATTCTGACTCCAGTCGGATCCACAAAGTTAAGCCTTTCCCCAGCATTAACCACTCCCCCTCCTATTGCCTCAACCGAGCTCCAACCCCTGCAAATTCTTTTGCTTTACTTCTCTTTCCTTCAACCACGAGCCATTAGACCCACAAACACTCCCCTACCCCGTCAATACTCTCCCATGAGAAGGGGCCTACTATGGCGGGACGCGCCCTCCGGTCTGGACGTTGCCGCTTTAAGAGCCTGAGTTCCCGGTGACGTTACGGGGTTGTTGGGGGGGGTTGGGCAGGGGTTGAAGCTACGTGACCTGGGGCCTAGACAGCCAGGCTTTGGGATCACCGAGCAGCGACCCGACACCGCCGCGGAAATAAAACCACGCTTAAATAAGCGCGCAATGCCACTGCTTTAGTGGGCGTCGCACCCCTTACGAACACAACTAGCTACACAAATTTAAGTCTTCGCCCAGCGGTAACGGCCGCCATTTTAGGTTCGCTAACTCATTCCTCTCCGAGCGGACCATCGAAATCTAAACACCGATAAAATAACAAGAAACAAAAACTAAACGTACCCGGGCTTTGCTCACCTGCATTGGACAATATATTTAAATAACCAGCATAAAGAATAGACAGAAAGGGAAAGAAAGAGAAGGCGCGAACCGGAGACAACGAATTACTGGAACTGAGACAATCACAGCCGCGACGGCAGGAAACACTGCCCTGTGATGGACAGCTGGCAGGCCCGGTTGCCATGGTTTCCCCGTGGTTTGATTGGCAGTCGCGCTGAGCGCTAACCCCGCCCCAGTGGGAAGGCTCGTGCCTCTGGCCCGTGGGAAGTTCCCTCTGAGCTGGGGACGTGCTGCAGAGCCTGGAGAACAATCCATTCTCAACAAGGGCTGCACTCAGGAACACCAGGAGAATAGAGTAAAACGCGTGAAATGTTATTCCTATCATCAAGAAAGAAGTGCAAAGATTATACTTAGAATGAGGGACTTTGATTATCCAAACGTAGACTAGGGTAATAGCAGAGAAAGGGCAGAAACTGACCAGAGCTCCAGAACTCTGGTCTCTAACCTTTTTAAGAACAAGATAACTTTTTGAATTTAAGTGTACCTCGAAGAAAATACAGAACAAACAAACAGTTCATTTTTAACGCTATATATATTTAAAACCAAGTACATATATAATCAGTAAAGTAATGGTGTGGTCAACAGTGCTATCAAGCAGCTCCTGCTCAGCAATAATCCGCTCAGTGACGCCTAGTTTGGCTTTTGCCAGGGCCACTCAGCTCCTGACCTCATTACAGCCTTAGTTCAAACATGGACAAAAGAGCTGAATTTCAGAGGTGAGGTGAGAGTGACAGCCCTTGACATCAAGGCTGCATTTGATCGAGTGTGGCATCACAGAGCCCCAGCAAAACTGGAATCAATGGGTATTAATGGGAAAACTCTCCAGTGGTGAGAATCGTACCTGACACATCAGAAGATGGTTGTGGTTGTTGGAGGTCAGTCATCTCAGCTCCAGGACTTCTCCGCATGAGTTCCTCAGGGTAGTGTCCTAGGCCAAACTATCTTCAGCTGCTTCATCAATGACCTTACCTCCATCATAAGGTCAGAAGTGGGGCTGTGCAATCATTGGCGAACAATGTTCAGCGCCATTCATGACTCCTAGGCACTGAAGCAATCCGTGTCCATATGCAACAAGCTCTGGACAATATCCAGGCTTGGGTTGACTTCTGGCAAGTAATATTTGCACCACACAAATGCCAGGCCCTGACCATCACCAACAAGAGACAATCTAACAGTCATCCCTTAACATTCACTCGTGTTACCATCATTGAATCCCCCACTATCAACATCCTGGGAGTTATCATCGATCAGAAACTCAACTGGACTCACCACATTAATGCAGTGGCTATAAGAGCAGGTCAGAGGCTAGGAATACTGTGGCGAGTAACTCACCTCTTGACTCCTCAAAGCCTGTCCACCATCTGCAAGGCACAAGTCAGGTGTGTAATGGAATACTCCCCACTTGCCTGGATGAGTGCAGCCCAAACAACATTTAAGAAGTTTGACACCATTCAGGACAATGCAGCCCACTTGATTGGCACTACATCCACAAGCATCCACTCCCTCCACCACCAATGCTTAGTATCAGCAGTATGTACTATCTACAAGATGCACTGCAGAAATTCACCAAAGATCCTCAGACAGCACTTTCCAAACCCACGACCACTTCCATCTAGAAGGAGAAGGGCAGCAGATACATGGGAACACCACCACATTCAAGTTTCCCTCCAAGCCACTCACCATCCTGACTTGGAAATATTTTGCAGTTCCTTCACTGTCGCTGTGTCAAAATTCTGGAATTCCCTCCCTAATAGCATTGTGGATCAACCCACAGCAGGTTGACTGCAGCGGTTCAAGAAGGGAGCTCATCACCACCTTCCCAAGGGCAATCAGGGACAAGCAATAAATGCTTGCCAGCCAGTGATGCCCACATCCCACAAATGAATACATTAACATATGGGTACAATTTTAAGGGGGTGCAGGAGCAGAATGATCTGGGTGTACATGTGCATAGATCATTGAAAGTGCAGGACAGGTAGACAAAATTGTAAGTAAAGTATACAGTACCCTCAGAATTAATTTTAGAGAGAATCGTAGAGAACAAAAAACAAGGAAGTGATGTTGAATTTGTATAAGACACTTATGAAACCTCAACTGGAGTATTGTGTACCGTTCTGATTGCCACGTTGTAAGCAGAATGTGAACACATTGGAAAGAGTGCAGAGGCAGTTTACAAGAATGGTTCCAAGGATGAGAAACTTCATTGTGGGGATAACATGAAGAAGACGGGACTGTTCTTGGAGATAAGAGGTGATATGGAGGTTTTCAAAATCATGAGTGGGCTGGATAGAACAGGTAGGGAGGAACTGTGCTTGTAAAAGGAGCAAGAGGATATGGACCGAAAGTGACCTGCAAAAGAAGCTAAGGTAAAGGGAGGAAAAACTTTTTCTCTCACTGTGTAGTTAGGGTATGGAATGCACTGCCTGGAAGTATGGAAGAGGCAGATTCAATTGAGGCATGGAAGAGGGCATTAGATGATCATTTGGATAAAAATAATGTGCAAGGGCAGAGGAAAAATCAGGACTCCGGCACTAGGTAATGTTGCTTGATTGTCGAGCTGCTGTGGGCATGATGGGCTGAATGGCCTTCTCTGCGCCATAACAATTTGGTGATTGTATGGTTTGTAGTTATTTATTTTATCCTCTATTCACCAAGTCTCAGTGTGACGCCTGTATCTGCATATTATTTGCCATTGCTTTTAAGCCTGGGTTGTAGTTTGAGATTGTTAAGTCATATATAGTCCAACAAATGGGTACCTGTGAATCGGGTGCGATACTTGGACTTGATTATCTTCATTGGAGAGAATACCGTGGAATTAAATAAGTTTTAATTTTAAAAGCACGGGATGATACTAGTTATTTTTCTCAAGTCCCAAGTCCCCAAAAATTGCGGTCACTTGATCAGACTTTTAGCTTAATACCATTTTGCACAGTAATTGTCTTTGCATCAATTCCATTGCTTTGTAAATCCAACAGCTGACGGAATTTGCTAGTCAATGCACCAATGCCCACTTGAACAAATGGATTTGAGACAAACATGTTGATTTGTTCCATCACATTTAATTCCTGAAATTGCCTGTTGAGGTTCCTTAGCTAACATCCTCAGGTAAATTCATAAGTTTTCTGGGTGGAACCATTTTTCGTTGTGTTTGATTTTTTCTAGTATTTTCTCTAGACTTGAGAAGTGTTGCAGTGTTTTATTTGGAGAGGAGCACAGAACCAGTTTCAATTTAAATGCATTAAAACACTGATCATATATGCTACATTGGTGGGTGTTATCTATATGGATTTCAGTAAAGCATTCAACAAAGTTCTGCATTGTAGACTGGTTACCAAGGCTCGATCACTTGGAATACAGAGAGAACTAGCCATTTGGACACAAAATTGGCTTGAAGGTGGGAAACTGAGGGTGGCGATGGAGGGTTGCTTTTTGGACTGGAAGACTGTGAGCTGTGGCGTGCCACAAGGTATTGGGTCCACTGCTTTTCATCATTTATATAAATGATTTAGGTGTAATTATAGGAGGTATAGTTAGTGAGTTTGCAGATGACACCAAAATTGGCAGTGTAGTGGACAGTAAAGAAGGTTACCTCTGAGTACAATGGGACCATGATCAAATAGGCCAGTAGGCCGAGGAGTGGCAGATGGAGTTTAATTTAGATAAATGTGAGGTGCTACATTTTGGAAAGGCAAATCAGGGCAGGACTTATACACTTAATGGTAAGGACCTGGGGAGTGTTACCAAACAGAGAGACCTTGGAGAGCACATTTGTAGTTCCTTGAATATGGAGTCGCAGGTAGACAAGATAGTGAAGGCAGCGTTTGGTACACTTGCCTTCATTGGACAGTGTAAGGGTTGGGAGGTCATGTTGCAGCCATACAGGACATTGGTTAGGCCAATTCTAGAATACTGCGTTCAATTATCATCTCCCTGCTTTAGGAAGATGTTAAATTTGAAAGGGTTCAGAAAAGATTTGCAAGGATGTTGCCAGGGTTGGAGGGTTTGAGCTGTAGGAAGAGGCTGAGGCTATTTTCTCTGGAACATCAGATGCTGATGCATGATCTTATAGAAGTTTATAAAATCATAAGGGTCATGGAAAGGGTGAATAGTCAAGGTCTTTTTGCCAGGGTAGGACAGTCCAAAACTAGAGGGCATAGGTTTAAGGTGAGAGGGGAAAGATTTAAAAGGGACACGAGGGGCAACTTTTTCACGCAGACCGTGGTGTATTTATGGAACGAGCTGCCAGAGGATGTGGTGGAGGCTGGTACAGTTACAACATTTAAAAGATATCTGGATGGGTACATGAATAGGAAGGGTTTAGAGGGATATGGGCCAAATGCTGGCAAATGGGACTAGATTTATTGAGGATATCTGGTCAGCATGGATGAGTTGGATCAAAGGGTTTGTTTCCATGCTGTACATCTCTATGACTTCACAACTCTGTCCTTTTCCTGCACTTCAAAGTTCAGCTCATTCAGTTTTGATATAATATCTGTAAGGAACCTGTGGTTGAGCAACCACACATGGTCTGACAACTCGCTGCGCACTTCATTTCTTGATTCAAGAAAAGACATTTAAGGCATCAGATCTAAAAGTCTTTGCAGCACCTTACCTCAACCTAAACATCTCATATACACATGGAGGACTGGTTCACTGTAAGTAGCATCAAGTTTGTTGATTTAAACAAGCGACACTGAAGTGCTCTTGCTCAAATACAGTTTATAATCTTAACAAATGTAATTACAAGAGAATGTCCATTACTTTACATACTAATGCTAGCCAGTAGGTTATACAGTGGTAATTGACCAAAGAGGGAAGCGCCAAGTGACATGATCCATATTGATGTTATTTTCTTTTTGTGTTCTTAAATTCTTTTAATAAGGAGTCAGTGGCCATAGTAATTTTTTTCTTTAATTACTTTTCCATCTATGAACAAACCATCCACAACCTCATCACCTCAGGTGACCTCCCACCCACGGCCTCCAACCTCATCGTTCCCCAACCTCGCACTGCTCGCTTCTATCTCCTTCCCAAAATCCACAAACCTGAATGCCCTGGTCGACCCATTGTCTCCGCCTGCACCTGCCCCACCGAACTGATCTCC